AATCAACGTTTTTGGGTTTAGATCGCGTTATTTATAAATGTGTCGTAACCCTCCACCACCCGACACGGCCAATCAGTAAAAAAGTGTCACGTTGACAAAAGACAAATAGTTCACTGCTTTAGCCCACCGGTGTGTTGAAGCGTGAAACCACAACATTTACAATTTGAGTACTCAAATTGGCCGTGTCGGGTGGTGGAGGGTTACGACACATTTATAAATAACGCGATCTAAACCCAAAAACGTTGATTATGAATAATATTGGTCGCGAAAGCCTCACACGTGTTCAACTGAGATTTGTTCTGTTGGTTCGGTGATTTCGCAAGAATGGAAACAACTGTCACTGCACACGTGGGGGACCGCGTGTCATGATTCGTAAACACTTAGCACTCCATCATAGAGGGGGGGGGGGGGTTGGTTCGATCGCGTAAATATAGATGTGCCTTGAAAGCCGCCACCACCCGACAAAGCCAATTTAGTAAGGTTTATCTTTTTGGTTCTTTCGGTAAAGTCACGTAGAATGGAAATAATAAAATAATAAAAATAAAACATTTAATAATTCTCACGACGTTTCGGCCACAACGCAAGCAGCCGTCCTCAGGTGAAGACCAGGTCTGTCGGGGAGACAGCGTCGTGAGAATTATTTTATTATGTTTAATTTGTATTATTTTATTATTTCCATTCTACGTGACTTTACCGAAAGAACCAAGAAGATGAATCCCTGCAGTCACGAAAGCTTTAAATCGAAATTTAGTAAGGTTTGTCACGTAAACAACACGTGCCAATTCATCACGAGTTCAGCACACCGATGTGTTGGAGAGTGAGCCCACGACATTTACAATGTACGACGTTTCGCCGGTAATTACAACCAGCCTCATCAGGCGACAGCCAGATTTGTGGAGAAATCTTCCTGTTGCGGTCCTTAATAGAGGGAGTAAATGTGATGTCGTCACTGAGAACTCGCTACGTCCGTGCGTGAAATCACGACGTGTCTTGTTTAAAATCGTCATTCCCGTACCCGTCCGCTGTATCCGCCGTGGGAGGGAGGGAGGGAGATGGTGGCCTTCACCTGGCCCACCTGTGTGGAGCGTCTCAGCGCACGACGAATACCATCGCATCGGCCCTCGAAGAAGAGAAGATAAATGGGGGAGGCAATTTGGTGGAGGCACAATTTGCCGCAGGAGCAGCAGCTGTTGCAGCAGCAGCAGCTGTTGCAGCAGCAGCAGCTCCAGCAGAAGCAGCAGGAGCTTTAGCAGCTGCAGCAGCAGGAGCTCTAGCTGCAGCAGCTGCAGCAGGAGCTCGAGCAGCTGCAGCAGCAGGAGCTCTCGCAGCAGCTCCAGCAGAAGCAGCAGGAGCTCTAGCAGCAGCAGCTGCAGCAGGAGCTCGAGCAGCTTCAGCAGCAGCTCCAGCAGCAGGTCGAGCAGCAGGTCCAGCAGCAGAAGCAGCGGCTTATTCTCCAGCTGCAGCACTGCAGCGTGATACATGCCTACGGAGTTGGGTGTATTTGTAATTTGATTCGCAGGAGCGATTTTTTCTTTCTTTCTTTTTTGCTTTGCCGGTGGCGTGGAGACGAAAAATGAAGGCCGCTCAGTCGCGCAGACGACGATGGTTGCACGTTGCAATTAGTAATCGCTTATAGCTCGGCATTTTTGCGCTTTTTTTTGCAGTATTCGTAATATTAATAATAATAAATATAATAACAACAAATATTTAGTTTTAATAATTCCTTTAAATTTGTAAAAACAACAAATATTTTAAACTGAACACGATTAAACACGAACACACGCTTTCAAGTCTAGATTTGAAGCTTTCGTGACTGCAAGGATTCATATTCTTAGGGTTTTTTCGGTAAAGTCACGTAGGTAAAAAATTAAAATTAATAAAAGTAAAATAAAAATAAAATAAAAATCACGACGTTTCGGAGGCAACACAAGCTTCCGTCTTCAGGTGGAACCGTCACAGCACGATAGCTGTATCAAGTAAATGAGAAATTACAAGAGATACCACCTCTGTGCGTACGCGAGGATTGCGCGTGTCGAGGGGATGTCTGTTTTTGAACGCGAGCGACGACGTCTGCTCGTGCCCGCACTTGGAGCGCTCGCTGAATTTGACGCTTGAAATGTCTCCACTCTGGAACATTGAGGAGGAGGGGGAGGAGGGGTGGTGGGGGCTCTGTCACAGACCAGCGGCGGTGTACGGGAGGATGTGCCACCCCCCCCCCCTTTTTGTTGATTTGCACCCTGCCTTTGATTCCTTACGCTCCCCATATTTTGATGTCACCCCGACACCGCGTGTTCCTTGCTACTTTCCTTTACATCTTCGCTACCCTCCCCCCGGCCCCCCAACACCAACCCTTGCTTCGCTGCGTCTCACGCCCTCTCTCGCCCCTTTCTCGGCTTCCCAGCTCTCACAGCTCACACAGCTCTCACAGCTCACACAGCTCTCACAGCTCTCACAGCTCACACAGCTCTCACAGCTCACACAGCTCTCACAGCTCTCACAGCTCACACAGCTCTCACAGCTCTCACAGCTCACACAGCTCTCACAGCTCACACAGCTCTCACAGCTCACACAGCTCACACAGCCGAGCAGCCGAGCAGCTCACAGCTCACACAGCTCTCACAGCTCTCACAGCTCACACAGCTCACACAGCTCTCACAGCTCACACAGCTCACACAGCTCACACAGCTCACACAGCCGAGCAGCCGAGCAGCCGAGCAGCCGAGCAGCTCACACAGCTCTCACAGCTCTCACAGCTCTCACAGCTCTCACAGCTCTCACAGCTCTCACAGCTCTCACAGCTCTCACAGCTCTCACAGCTCTCACAGCTCTCACAGCTCTCACAGCTCTCACAGCTCTCACAGCTCTCACAGCTCTCACAGCTCTCACAGCTCTCACAGCTCTCACAGCTCTCACAGCTCACACAGCTCACACAGCTCACACAGCTCACACAGCTCACACAGCTCACACAGCTCACACAGCTCACACAGCTCTCACAGCTCACACAGCTCACACAGCTCACACAGCTCACACAGCTCACACAGCTCACACAGCTCACACAGCTCACACAGCTCACACAGCTCACACAGCTCACACAGCTCACACAGCTCACACAGCTCACACAGCTCACACAGCTCACACAGCTCTCACAACTCTCACAGCTCACACAGCTCACACAGCTCACAGCCGAGCAGCCGAGCAGCTCTCACAGCTCTCAAAGCACCGCGGGCCACACACGTCTGTGTCCGTGCGTGTGTCGACCGTGTACTTGGTCGTGCACTGCGGCTCCGCTGGCTTCTGTCTTGCTGTTGAATTCCATAAATAATAATGATAGCGGTCGGGGTCGGGGTTGTTTTGTTTTTAAAGGAGCTGGATGGGTAATACCATTTGTTAAAAAAAACATGCACATTGCAGTTTCAGAAATGCCACGGAGAAAGCGTGCTTTGTTCCCCAACCATTGCCTTTCCCCTTTAATAAGATCAATCGATTCCTGCGGGCTCTTAACCCTAATGAAGCGCACGAGCGCCACGGTGAAAGTAATTACGGTAAAAGTATCGCCAAATAATTAAATTATCCTGAATTACAGGATTTAATGGGAAGCTCCAATTCATTATTCCGCAGTAGGCACTATCGATGGATGTGAGCGCATACATAATGCATGGCTGTTGAGTGTTTGCAGCGAGGTGGCGGGGGGGGGGATGTATAGGATGTATAGGATGGATGTTTCACCCCATCGGCGAGATTGAAATGCGCTCGTTTCGTCACCCGCTTGTCTGTCCCTGCGTCGCGTCATTACGGAGTGAACCGGGGTGGTGTTTGTTGCGCGGCGACGATTTTGACCCCGCGTTTATTTTGTGCAGGCGAGGGCGGAAGCTCGCGAGCGTCGGGAACACGATTTCTGTCGTCCACTCGTTTCTGCGGTGGCGATGCTGCCGTTCATTATCAAGGCGTGGAGAGAGAGAGGGGGGGGGAGCAGTAGCAGCAGCCGCTTGGCCGTGAGAGAGAATCGCCGCGTAGCCCCCTCGTTCCTGGGAGAGCGCAGGACCAAAAACATATGAACGTTGACTCGCAAGCAAGAAGATGTCGCCCAAGCGGCAGAGCGATCGGCTCACAAGCAGAAGGATCCGAGTTTAATTCCTGGTTGGGGGGTGGGCGGGGGATGGGGGGGATTGACTTATCCCCACCATCCGTCTCCCGGTTCGATAAAATTAGTTGCACTTTGAGGGTTCTTGTGGATAGATTCACTCCCCCCACCCCATGAAAACGTGGAATTTGTCCCCACTGAATCTGCAGGGCTGTACAGAAGAGCACCAAATAATACCTCCTTTGTGCTTCATTTGTCTGTAAGGGATGTATTCTGAACCTCTTTACGACCGTACAGTAGCCAACCCTGCTAATCGGAGGTGCCAACCAATTTGAGCAGGACGTGTCTTTAACGTTTGTTTTTGACCGGGATGTGAATGTGGATTTTTTATTTTTTATTTGCCCAACGGCACGCTTATTTTGCCCGAGGTGGTATCGCCTGCCTGCACGACGCGTGATCTTTTCAGCGCAACCCGTAATGCTGGAGACGGCATCGCGCACGCGCGATCGATCGACACCCTCGGGTGGCTGCGTGTTTGTGTCTGGAGCAAATCAACTTATCCCCCCTACTCTCGTTTTTTTGTTGTTGTAACGCTTGACCTATTTTAAAGGAACATTTTAATTTACGTCGCGAATGCGTCCACAAGTGAGAATCCTGTGACTCAAGATCAACTCGCACCATTCAGCTTTGCTTGTTGTTCCTATTTTTTTTGCAGCGTGCTCCGATTTTTGTTTTTCTGTCTTTAATTCTACCGACAGAATAGCGCTGCCTCCGTTTTAGAATTCTGGCCACGCAATGAGTCGCCCCCCCCCCCCTTCTTTCCTACCGCCATCCCACCACCCCTTCCCTCCCCTCCCCCCACCTCTCCATTACCCCCCACCCGACGTGGCTTTAAAAGCAGCCGCTCCCAGCAGCAGTCTCCACAGCGCCGCTTTGCTGCTGTGAGCACGTGCGCATCGGCGTCGGTGTGTTCGCGACTTCATCTCGCCACTCGTCCTGCATACTTGCTCAAACAATAACCATAAGGTGTATTGTATATCTATTTTAGCAAAGCGCTCCTATATCTAATACGCGTTCTATACAAGCTCTTCACCCACTCCCACCCACCCGCGATCACTGCCCGCAGCACCGCGCGTGCACCAAAAGGGATCTCAAGTTTTGCTTCCCCTATAGAGGGTTGTGTGGCCGTGTTGTGCGGTTTAGGCGACCCAGACATACGCCGATTGCATCCGTCTCCTGACCCAGAAAGCCCTCCGTGCTCTCCGAGATGAACCGCCTGCTGCTTGCGAGCCTCTGCGCCTGCCTGGTTGCCGGTGAGTGGCGCACACATCCACAACCCTCATGATGCTTCTTCTTCTTGGTTATTCAATTTTTGCCGGATGCTAAGAAGAGGGAACGGAGAAGGGGGGAGGGGGTGCATGCTCAAAATGTGACAAAAGCTGGACACACGGCGGCCTTAAAATTAAAATAGAAAGGCGTTAACAGATGACGTTTTCAGGCAATGACACTTCTGCATCTCCTGCGAATAGCTATGGAGAAGGGCCATTGCCTGAAACGTCGCCTATTGTATAATTTCTGTTTTTGAGGCAGTGTGATTGACGAACGTGTCGCGTTTGTTGTTTGTGCACCACTGCCAAACGCAGCAGCATCGCCAAATAATCCGTTTAAATTTTGCATACAATGTGCCATGAAAGAGAACTGGCACATGGCGACACGTAGCGTCTATGCCTGCGCCAGTCGCTGTGGTCTTGTGATGGTATCGCGTGGTAGCTCTTGTCCTTGTTACCCACGTCGCTTTCCCTCGACGCAAATATCACGCACACGTGGTCCCAGATGTTCCTAATTGGAACGATTGCACTGCTTTTTATTTTTTACTCAATTGGAATCTGAATAGCAATCGATCATCGCCCCCTGCTGCGAAACATTTGGCAGGACCCTCCGAGAAAGGAGTCGTGAGACTCGGGCGATGCTTTCCTGCTGGGTAAAAAAACCGAGCGTAACAAATAACACGCCTGAGCGAGCATTAGCTTCTTCAGCACCAGGGACAGCGCACGCGGCAGATTGCTGCTTGGAGAGTGGTGCCGGAGAGTGGCTGCGTAATGGGCAGTGAGTGAATGAGAACATCGTTTCTATTCCGCTCGTAATTCTTTTTTTGGTTCGGGAGGGTCCTGCCAAGGGCTTGGCAGTAGATTTACAACCGAGTAAATGTGCGGGTACATTTTCACACTCGGCAATTTTGGACCATGACGCCGGCACACAGTGGCCTTCCTTTACGAGTGGCATCACGGGATCTTTAACATTCCACGACGAAGCAGACGCTTACCAGTATCACCACCCATCATTTACGGTTCTTGCACGAGCAGTATTAACTAGGTCGGCCGCTGTATTCGAACCGTGAGCCTCTGCAACGAGTGTCGAACGCGCCACCGCTGACCCACTTCACCCGCCCAACGCGATGATCACGGACAGCAACGTGACGATTGACGAACGTGATTTATTGGCTCACGACTTTAGCAGCAAACGTCTGCAAGGAATAAGTATTCGTCGCGGCGATTCTTCCTGTGGGTCTTGAGTTACCTTGCGGAAGCGTTCATTCATTATTTATACTGGTAGGAACCTCCCTGGTTACACCAGCCCACAAGGGATTACTGTGTTCGTCCGTCGTGCATCCAAAAATGGGAGGGGTGGGTCTGGGTGGAGAGGGGAGGGTTGGGAGGGGCTGGGTGGGGAGGGTGGGGAGGGGCTGGGTGGGGAGGGTGGGGCTGGGTGGGGAGGGGCTGGTCACCCCGTGGTGCCCTTATAAAACTCAACGTTTAACCTACTCACGCCGGCTTGTGCCCGCCCTCACAGTCGGGCATATTTGCGGAATACACCACGCCGCCGTTGACCCTGGCCATTGACCGAGCAACCCAACGTTCCTACCAGCTCCCTCCGCAGGAATGTGTTTGAGAATGTAGGGCAAACTTGGATGCAACTGGGAGTGTCGAATGCAAAGTTTAATATCATGAGCAGTGGGCAGTGTATGGAATATCATGATCTCAGAAACGTCTGAGAAAGGACACAGCACATAGAGAGTTTGAGATATGCACCGAGTACATTTGATTGTCAATACAAATCCTATATGGAGTGTGCGATTTTAAATATAAATTATAAAAATGGACTTGAAAGCGGATTATCAGCTAATCACAAACTCTCAGACAAAGCAATTGAAAGGCGAATTCGCCCTGCGGCTGAATCTCGAAAAGGTAGCTTTTTATTTGGCCGTTTGAAAGAAGAAGAATATAATTTTTTATTACCGATGACTAACTTGCAATGAAAGGTGATAACAAATTAACTATTTCTCAATGTGCGCGTGTTTTAAGCACTACAATTTCCCGGGGTGTTCATGGTATCTGCTTGCAGTGAATGAGACTATTTGGGAACCACATGGCTCATTAGGAATTGTGCTGTCGATGTTGGTGATGGGAGCCTGATTTTGAATTACATTTCTAACACGTTGCCTTCCCTATAGATTCATCCCCACAAGTACACACACACTCACACTCTGCCTTGTTCCAGCCGCACACGATGCTCGTGGGAAATGATTTGCGAATAATCCCGTAGAAAAAAAACTGCTAACCTTTCTTTTTAAGAAGGTGCGAAGCAAATGCATGTACGTTGAACTTTGTTCGCGCCGTACATAGCCGACTGTGCAAATCTGAGTTGCCGGGGGAAGGACAAAATGCACTGACATGAGGTACTGTAACGAACTGCTTCCTTACGTCCACGCATGTGATATAGGAATTGTTTCTTGTTTTGTTTTTGTCTCTTATTCAGTGTCGTCCCTTCCCGTGCCGGCGACTTTGCTGACAACAGATGATGGCGTAAGTAAAAAAAAAAACTATATTTAAAAAAACAAATCGTCGTGCGAAATTCTCCGCAAAAAACTGCACTGCCTGGGTGGGGGGGCGGCGGGGGGAGGGTGGGGGGCGGCGGGGGGAGAGGGTGGCGGGGGGTGTAGGGTGCATCTCGCGCACGCGAGCACTCGTGTAATTTAATGACCGTGCTTCACGACAATTTTTCCTCTCTCGCTGCACTGCATCTGTCACGACGGCGTCGGTGAACATGTCAGCTGCTGCTGCTCATGGAGGTGGAGAAAGGCAGCTCGACGGCGAGGAAGTAGACGTTGCAGAGCAGCGAGCCGAGCGGCGTTTCAATCCCCCCCTCGATTGGCCTCGTTTTCTCTCAAATCTTTTGCATCGCATCGACCGCCATGCTGCGAATGAAACCGTAACGTGAACGTCGCATGGGGCTGTACGCTCGCATCGAGGTGCGGGGTCGGGCAGCGAGCATTTTTCCGCGACCATTTTTTTTGTGCGTTTTGTCACGTTCGTACGTTCGCTACAGTTGTGCAAGTGTGGCCCTTTTAATTAAAAAAAACCAGCAGCAGCAATGTCACAACAATTTTGACACGAAGCCGGTGAATAATTATTTGGGACCTAAACCTGGACTCTGATTTTTAGCACGGTCGGCTACGTACGGTGCGAAAGAAGTTCTACGTACATACACGCGCGCACACACACACAGCTTATTGGCCTGTACATTTACCACCACCTCCGTGCGACGCCTGCCTCCCCACGGCTCGATCGTTAAAAACGGGCTCCCGAGTTTCTCGGCCAGCTGCTGGGTGACCTCTCTGTGACCTTGACCCCAATCATCCGCCAACCCCGCTGCCACCGCCGCCGCCACCGCCGCCGCCACCATCTGCCCGCCACCTGCCCGCCACCTGCCCGCCACCGCCATTCACCTCGGGAATAATTCCTCTGCTCGGCAGGTGGCGAGGTGCGTCGGTGAGGTGGTCGCTCGCGCCATCTCGGAAGCCAGCCCTGCGCCCGCCACGGAAAACTGCCTCCGCGTGTTGCGAGAAGGTAAAACGGACACCGGAAGCAAAAAGGCTTCCGCCGGCATGGGGACAAAGGGGATGGATAGATGGGTCGATAGCCATTGCATGATGGTAATAATAACAATCGAGAATGTGTAGCTCGCACACTTTTTCTCTCACTCCTCTTGAAAGAGAGAGCGAGGGGGGATGATTCGGAGCCACGGGGAAACCAGACAAGTGGAAAGGTTCGCCAGAAAACCCATGGCAACAAATTGCCTGGCCCTATATTATAATGTTTGGTCAACTCCATCGATGAGCGTTTATACGTGGGTGGAGGTAGGGTGAGGGGTGGGGTGAGGGGTGGGGGTGGGGTGAGGGGTGGGGGTGGGGTGGGGGTGGGGTGGGGGGTGGGGTGGGGGTGGGGGTATGGTGGGGGGTGGGGTGAGGGGTGGGGTGAGGGGTGGGGGTGGGGTGAGGGGTGCGGTGAGGGGTGGCGGTGGGAGGTGGGTTGGGGTGGGTTGAGGAGTGGGGGTGGGGTGGGGGTGGGGTGGGGGAGCCAAAGCAGCCGGAGACAACCCACACGTGCGAGGGAGGGGGCGGGGTAACACTCACTTCCCATAAAGGTGGGAATTGGTCCACGAATTGTTGAGTTCCACCAACCCTGACCCCCACAGTGCGCGATGCCTGCAGTGCACGTAGCGTTCATTAAATGCGTTTTGGAATTCTGTCCGCGTGAGAACCGTAGGAGATTGGTGGGCACCCTGCGGCCTTTCCCCCACCTCGTGGTGGGCCTGGTCTCAGTGTGTCTAGGGCAGCGGTACGACAACCAAAATAACAAGCAATTTTTTTCGAATTCGGTGAAGAGCCGCAATGCAGGGTGAATAACATCACGAAGCAGCGGTCCTCGCAGAGACTCCTGCGGCTCCTGAGCCACGGGTTGCCGAGCCCTGGACTAGGGTGGACGAGGGTCGCTCGTGTGGCACGCTAACTCGTCTGGGTCGCCCATCACTGCCAAAGGAGATTTCATCTCTGGCTGGGAGGCTGGGAGGCTGGATCAAAAGACCATTCATGCCACCGCCTCGACATCGCTTCCTTTCCCCGTGCGCCGGCTCTCGACGCTGCGTATTGAGCGCATGGACAATAAAATACAGCGCTGGAAATCGCGTTCTGAAAACGTGTAATTTTATTGTTCTCTTTTCAGATGAAAGAATTAATGGCTTTCTTCACCGTAAAGATTTAATCCAAGTGCTGCAGCAACTCTCCAGGCACGGTGAGGAGAATTTTAAAAGAAAATAGACGTTCTGTGCGCGTGTGTTTGCTGGAGTGTAATTGAGAGTGGTTGCGGCACGAGTTGACGGTGATTGCCCCTCTCCGCAGATGAACTAATCGAAGCTCGACGCCAACAAGAGGCCCAGAGAACGGCGGTGCCGGACGCCGGAGCCAATCGCCCGGTTGAAAGTGACAAAGGGGGAGAGGATCCGCTGGGAGGCACGGGAGAGTGGGTCCAGCACAGCGGGGAGGGGGCGCGTGAAGGGGTGGCAGGAACGGGGAGAGCGACCACGGGAGAACGCGCGCATCTCGTCAAGCAGGGGAGACCAGGCAATGAGGCTACACATGACGACGACGACGATGATGATGATGATACATCGGCAGCCGTCGATAAAAAAAACGTAAATTACAGGAACCGCGGTGGGAGCCGACGCGGAAGTGAAGGTCTTGGAATCGAGGAGAGGAATGTTGAGACGGGATACGATCTGCGTGGAGATGGCCTTGAGCACAACGCCGCTGAGCCTCGCGTCGTCACGAAGGACGACGTCGTCGGCGATGACGACGACGACGACACCCGCGAACGTGCCCGTGGGGATGGGGCGACGCGGTCGATTGAAAAAGAAGACGGCGAAGTCGGCCGAGATGATCAAACCATTGGGGGGCATCACGGCGGGGCGAGATTTTCTCAGCAGCCCAGCGACGAACGCGAAAGCGAACGACCCGCGCCGCTGACGCTTTCTGAACAGGAACGGAACGCGGCTCCTAACCACCGCGAAGGCGACGACGACGACGACGACGATGACGACGACCGCCACCAGAATGCCGATGGAGGCCATGGAGAGGCAGAGGAAGGGAGAAGCTCGAGGGCAACGGATCTGCGAGCCGGCTTGCGTGAGCGCCGTGGACGAGAGGGCGAGTCGGAGGGCGAGAAGGTGGAGGAGGAGCTCATACGGATGACTCTACAGAGCGTTGGTGGGAAGGTGAGCATGGGGGAGGAACCCGCGCGCCATTCGGGCTCCACGGGGGGTCCCAGTCGAGATGCCGCAGAAGATGCCGCCGCCGCCACCGCCGCGTTGCTTCCTGCGGAGAGGGAACGGAGCGACGACACGCCCGGCGTCATGCTGGCGCTTGGCGACGCCGTGGTTGCAAAGCGAGAATCTGCTGCTGCTGCTGGTGGTCGTGGTGGTACCGCCGCCACACGCCAGGCGGGAAGGGAGATCGGCTCGGAGGGATTGGTGGGAAATCCTCACGGTGCCGCGGATCGTGGCAGTCGTGCGGCGGCCTGGAGCAGCAGCGAAGAGGTAACGTCCCCTTTCTTTTTTTAGCAATTGCACGGTGTCCATTGTGCAGGTGCGTCTAGACAGCCCTCTTTGCCAATTTGCCGCTGGATGAGGGCCTCCCCCTACCATGGCGGTCGTGGGGGTTATTTTAGTGCATGCCACGATGCAGGCCAGTACGGGGTGGTGAAGGCAGGGGGGCCATAGACGTGGGAGCATAGAAGTGGAGGACAACTATGGATTTCTCTGCGCTGCCGTTCCCCCCCAAGTCGTCCCAAAGGCCTGTGACAGCCGGTTGGTGCACGGTGTCTACCCATCCTATAAATTATCCAGGCTCCAATTTGCTTAGCTTCTGAGATCAGAAGTGATTGGGCGCATTCCAGGTCAAAGACAAAATGCGCGGTAACTTAAAAAAAATACAATTCAAAGGCGTACAGTGTTTACATGCGACCTCTTCCAAAGTACGCTCGCGTGCCGAAAGTTTTTTTTTTTGTAAGGAGCGGGGAGCGATTGTTTTTAAACTCCTAGAGGGCCGGAGGTGGGATTGAGATTATATTGTTGTTGAAGTGTAACATGGAAGCAGCGAGGCAGAAGAGAAGAGGAATGTCTGGGGCCGAGAATCGATCGTGGGAAATGTCTCGGCAGTGCAGATGACCAGAGAAAGTGAATTCTACTCAACTTAACCCTTTCCCGTTCCGAGACGTCTACAAGTTGTAGGGTGGGTGGTGTCCCATTTACCGCTTAATCTTGCAACACGCAAGCGGCTCGGTGTAAATTTTATTTGCAGAGGCGTAGCGCCGTTGTTCTTAAGGACGTTTGCACTCACCGCCAAGAACCGTAGCGACACGACCGCACTGCACGACAGCTGGCGCCAAGCTGTGCCGCACGCCCTCCCGCATGGCCTTGTGGGAGCCTCGGTCCCGATAGTGATTTTCTTTTAGTTTTTCTTCCGGTTTCGTTAAGATGATGTCCACGTACGTCATCGGAATGGAATCGGAAGAAAAACTGGTGACGTGCACGCACGTCATTGGAACGGCAAAGCGTTAAAACGAGAAGACAACACATGAATCCACGTGAGACTTGATTTTAATCGGTTTTCAATCGGTGATAATGATATTCCGTGACAGTATCGTAAAAAGAATAAGTGTGGAACAAATAAAGGAAACCTTCATACGTGGAATAAAATTCAAAGGGCGAAAGAGGAGCACGTGGATAAAGGGCACAGGTTGATGACATAATTCGAATTTAAGAACGATGAGTGGGCTTCGGAGAGAGGAAACATCGCTTGGAGAGACGATGTATGTATGTTGAACTTCTGTCGCACCGTACTTGGCCAACTGTGCTAATCGGAGGGGTAAAGTGTAGGTATTCTCACCTCTTGCACAAAAGCGTCTGGCCACCATTAGGAGGAGGTGCGGAAGCGATGGCAGATGGTCAAGAATAATGATGGGAGTGGCAGCCAAGGAATGGAACGCGTGTGGGTTTTACGTCCACAGGGGAGATGGAGCAATGAAACGTTCCAGGGGTTTGGATCACTACGTTGCGGGACCAGGAGATATGGCGACGTCTTGGGGGGGGGGGGGGGGGAGGGGCCGACTTCATCCAGCAGTGGGTTGACCACGGCTGACGATATGAAAGTTGAAAAGGTAGCTTTGTGTTTCTGTGCACAGCGTGAAGCAAATTGTGTCTGGCGCTGTTCTTTCGCAGGACAAAGAACTCGCAGAAATCGCAGCGATCGAGTTGGAACTGGAGAACATCGTTAACAAAATTGAAGATCTCAAGAGAGGGTAAACGTGCTTAAGTGCTTGGTCACTGTTAACTTTTTTCTTAAATTATCTTTTTGGAAGATTTGAAAACCGGGTGGTTTGGGAGATTTGTAAACACTTTTAATAGTTTTTTTTAATATATATGAAGTATTGAAGCAACAAAAAAGAACTGAAAGTTTGATGGTAGCGCATTTTGTTGACTCGCTCGTAGAGAGAGGCTATACTTTGTACATGCCCTGTGTGCTATAGATTTAATCACTTTCAATCGCACACGGGAGAAGTGACAATCGTTTCAACCCTTTCCCATTCCAATGATGTACGTCATCCGTTTTTCAGGAAGAAAAACCAAAATTGAAAGTAACTTTATCGGTACCGAGTCTCCCACAAGGCAATGCGGGAGGGCGTGTGGCACAGTTTTTGGCGCCGGTTATCGTAGTGTGGTCGTGTCGCCACAGTCTCTGCGGTGAGCGCGATGTCATTTAAAAACATCTTCGCCACGCCTCTCTCAATAAAATGAACGCGAAACCGATTGCGCGTTCCGAAATTCGGCGGTGAACGGGTCGCCCGTCCGTCCTGCAACTCGAGACGCGCGCTCGGGCGATGCAGTAACACCATGCCCCCCTGGGTGCGTCGACCGATGTGCCGATGTGAAAGAGCGGCACGTGACAATCGTGCTTCGACTTTCCGTCCAAACGCACGTTGGGTCACAACGGCTCCTGCTGACTTGAAACCCGTCTTGGCAGGCGTCTGTGCGTTTGTGTGCGCGCCGTTTCCTGTACGTTTTGTGTCTTTTTTGTTCATGGGTTCTCGTCTCTGTGGTGTTAGAGGTGTGCAGTCGCAGAACAATGCGTACATTACACAAACGCATTATCACTCGCTTGTCCTCCTTCTGTGCGTTATTCTATGAAGAAATAAATTCCTATTTGACGACGAACAAATGATAATGTGTTTTTATTTGAATCAGTCTCGCACTTAATACATCTAATAGACTTGATCAGACTTTTGTGGTTACAGTTCTACGGTCGACATTGCAACAGCGTTCACCAACGATTGTAAACCAGCGATAATACTCCCACCCGTTTAATTATCCAGGACAGCCTCAACGATTCTTCAAGATTCCTTTTTGTCACGAGGGTCGTGCACTTGGTGCGCATTTTCGCCAAATTCGCCCCACGTGGTAAGAAGCCGGAGGTCTCCGAAGGAGAAGAAGAAACCCCACGTGGGCGAGGAGGGGGAAGCAACGCAGGACAAAGCTGGCAATCACCAGGTGTCCGTGGTGTCACCGCAGGTCCCCTGCGAACACGAGAATTCATATCCCAATGAGGTTTACCTGTCTCCAAAATAACCCCCCCCCCCCCCTACGGCTACAGCACCTGGCGTTCCCCATGCAGTTGCCCATTTAACCCTTTGTCAGTACCGAGGCTCTCCCACAAGTCCATGCAGGAGGGCGTGTGGCACAGATTGGGGCCATTTATCGCTCCGGTTCTCTGCGGTGAGTAACAATGTCTTTGTAAAAACAATGGCATCTGCTACGCCTCCTCTAAATAAAATAGGCGCGGAGACGCTTACGTTTTCTGAGATTGAGCGGTGAACGGGACACCACCCTGCAATTTGCAGACATCTCAGAATGGGAGGGGGAGTGGGATACTTTCCCAATGTTTGGATTAATTTGAAATTCCCGCAGATGCGGCCTCGATGCGAAATTCCTTATTCGGGGAAAAACATTTTTATATTGATCCGACAAAAAAATGTGACATCACTCTGACTGAATGCACGTACGTGGAACTTCTTTCACACCGTTCGTCGCTAACCGTGCTTAACCGGAGGTGCGGGGGGAAGGAACGTGCTGCGGTTTCGTCACCAGTCTCATCCGGCGGCCGCCACCCCTCCGGGTCGGCGCCCTCTCGCTTCCCGGCACGTTCCGCCCGTCGCCTCTGATTCGCGTTGGCCCTGTGACCCCCCCCCCCCCCTCCCCCACGTGTTCCCTCTCTTGTCCCCTCGGTATAAATCCCAACGTGCACCTATCATGCAACGCCTTTTGTTCCATTTTTTTGTCGGTGTTCGCGTGTTTTATTTCCAAACCATGTCATGACGGGTATTACAATAGCGTGCACTGCAAACTCCAGGCCTATTGTTGCGTTTTCATTTTGCAGTACAATTTTCCAAAAGCACTCCCGACCTGCCCTGCTCGTTTAACCTATTCATTAATTTATTTTGGTGTTCTATTTTTCAATAGATATCCTAGATATACACACACGCACACACTCCGTTGTGTATTTCAGTTGTGTCATTTTTAAAATTGCAGCCGTAATTTAGTTGTTCAATCGTTCCCTCCTGGTTCATTCCCACTTGACGGTACGTCGACTACAACTGACTACATCCGTTTTATGGTTACGCCTGGAATGTCTCCAATCGAGTGGTCAGAACGCGCCTTCCAGAGTCGCTGCTCGCTGCCTCCGTGGGAGGAAAATCTCAGCTGTGCAATCTCAGCTGTGCTATCTTCTTAAATCGAGTTTAAATTACGTCAATTTATCTTCTGTTATTACGACATCCCTCGGTTTGTAAGAACAATGATGGACCGCACCATATATATATTTTTCACCGACAAAATACCCGCTGTCTTATATTTTTATTCAGGTTTTTTTCCTCTCTCTATTTATTCCGTTGCTTTGTTTGAGCTTGCGTGCGATTTATTGATTTGTTTACGTAACCTCCTCTCTAGTTTTCCACCACTGCAGATCCCAGCCTGGGCTCTGGGACACCAAAGATACGGCTGCACAGCTCACCGCCTTCTTCCGGCTTAAACCAAACGTCTCCAATTACAATGCTACCGATGAAAATACCTTTTCTACAAGGTACGTTACAATTGCATTTCTTTTTACGACTTTGTCTCTCGTTGAATCTGGTTCATCGCATTTAGCGTCAAGAGGGCAATGGAACTATAATTCTGTAGATCGGTTTTGTTGTCTCTTTTCAAACAGACGAATGATCGAGGTTTCGTACCGCCATCGACGCATTCTAATTTGTCTGTAAACGTTCAGTGATTAGGCACCGCAATACTTTATGTGTGTGCACCTTGACCTGTGATCATACGGTCGGTAAAACAACCCCGCTGAGGTGTTGGATGGATGCAGGAATTAAGCCGTCGGGTTTCCTAGGCGCGTTCTACAAACCTGCATCGCTCACGGAATCATTACGCAGTCCCCATTCCGACATTTACATCCGATCCCGGCAACTACAACCTAAAATGTAAATCACTCTCCATGTTGCGGAGAGAAACCCTGGCATTACGACGCAGTATATTTACTGATCACAATAATCACGATTTCTTTGCTTGTCTATTCGTGTAAGGCAGGGCTTAAATTTAGCCGGAGCTGTCCGGGACTGAGCTATTTTCCTCTCCTGGGGGAGGGGTGTGGGGGGGGGATTGTGCCCATGGGGGGTTGGGGATTTGGAGGGACCCAGAAAATATTGCGTGAGAAATGAAACCTTGGATGTCAGGATCGCTCGTCGTAGTCCGCGCATTTGTAAAAAAAAAAAAAACTGCTGTGAGCCAATGGGCCGGCTCGCGATCTAGCGAGAGGAATGAGCATAAATTCGACTTCTTTTTTTCTTTTGCGCACAGCGGATGGCTTTGCCCTCTCCGAGCGGCGGGATTCAAAAGAACATGATCCTCTTCATCCACTGGGAAGACACGCGGGCGGGGGGGGGGGGGGATCAAGATGAGCTCATTGTATAAATCAATAGATGCAAGCACTTCCATTAGTCCACGTCACCAAGGGGGTAAGGACGTGAGGATTATAACAACGAGGTTTAAGCGAACACTGCACATGGTGCAGCTTAAATCGGGCATGGCCTTGTTGGCATGTCCTGTCAGGACAAAGGCATTTCGGCACAGCGATGACCGAACATTCCTCGCGCAACCCGCAGTACATCCTGGTTTTTTGTCATCGTCCGCCGTGATCGATCCACTGCTGGATGAAGGCCTCCCCGCCGCCATCGCTCATCTCTCACGATCCTGCGCTTTGCGATAAGCCACTTGGCACCAACACACGAGCTGATCCCCTTTTATTATTGTCCTCATTATTATTATTTACGCTAAAGAATTTATAACCTGCGGGCCCTTGGTTGATGTGTTTGAGTACAGCTGGGCGGTCGTGTAGCGGTTAGCACGCTAAATTTCGATTGAAAGCTTCCGTGACTGCAGGGATTCATCTTCTTGGTTATTTCGGTAAAGTCACGTAGAAGGAAAATAATAAAATAATAAAAATAAAACATAATAAAATAATTCTCACGACGTTTCGGCCACAACGCAAGCAGCCGTCCTCAGGTGGAGAACAGGTCTGTCAAGTAGACAAACTCAAGAAGAGGTTAGCACGCTGCGCTACAAACCCGGCCACCCGGGTTCGATTTCCACTCAATGCCATCACCAGTGACGATTATTTGAACCGGTCCTGGGCCTCCCCATGGTCAACTCGGCCTCAAATGAGTACCTGGCGCGGTGTGTAAACATCGCCACTCTGGAGACAAAGGTGGCCGGGCATGGTGCTGGCCACTCACCCCCTCGTGTGCCGTGCCGGCCTTCATAGGTGCTACTCGCTAACAGCACTTGCCCCAACAGTCTGTTAAGGCTACAGGGTGGATCTTGTCTTTGCATGAAGGCACACACACAGGGTGCTTGCTCTTCGTTTATCTGACGACACACAGCTGCTTCATGACACAGCTGAGCGAAGCACCGAGTCGAACATTCTGGCTATAACATCTGATCAAGCGCTTTGGCAAAAGTCCAACGTAGTTTACGTTTCAGTGGGGGGGGGGGGGGGGGGGGGAAGTGGGGGGGGGGGAATGTCAGGCACCTCCTTCTGTTCGGGTTGTATATCCGGCCGTTGAAGGATGGCCTTCACCGTTCCTGAAAGAAGAGACGAAATTGCGGCATCACACACACAGCAGTAGCAGCATCGCGATCCTCGGTCATCTCAGTATCGACATCCACGTTTTAACCGAACCTTACGCCCAGACGAGATAAGGGCGGACACATATTTTTAAAACCTTTATATTAAGTTCACTTGCTTGCTTGCAAATCTTTCGGTAGCTTTTTAACCCACTTCCCGTGATCCAATCGAGTTGACATTTTGCACACAGACTCGTTGTGCGTGACAATTTATATTCGTGAAAAAAATTCCAACATTTTCCACTTTTTAGGGAAAAAAATTTTCATATTTAATTTAAATACCAATGTGATAAAAATGAAACTCTTACTTAAGAAAAACAGAAATGAATAATAAAATAAAACCGATGCCACGCATATAAAGGATTTATAGTGAAAAACTTTGTTTTTACGGGTTAATTTTTGTTGTATTGTTTTTATTTCGGCAGGGGAAGGGCCCACAATGAGCTGTTGGGCTCCACTATTCCACGCGCGCCCTGTGGGGCGGCAGAGATGTTTGCTCCGCGGCGCAGATCCCCGTTACAGGCACGCGCGGTCCCCACGTCGGTCGCGATACGAACGGCGCGGCGACAACGACGAAAGGTGCTTGCTGACTCAGCCCATAATCGGGCGTACGCAGCCTTAGATGTCCGAGCCAAACCGTTGTAACACCCCGGATTTCAATCGCTGCAGAGCATCATTTCTAAACGGTAACGCCGACCGGCTCCGCCGACCGCGCCGCACCTGACAGCGCGTCGATGTGCAGCAGGCAGCAGAGGAAATCCTCGAAGTCGATTCTCCTCTTGCCGCCAAGGTACCTGAGCAGGGTGTGCCTCTCCAGGTCCCCAGACACCGGGAGCCCTGGCAAAATGCACAAAGACAAAGATGTCCCCCACCCCCACCCCACCGCCGTGATAGCCTTTGAACAGACCGTCGGGGCGAGTGCTGTTAGCGAGTGGCACCTGTGAAGG